ACACCAATAACAGTGAACGCTCACTCAACTGTTGAGTCCGCTGAACGCAGCCAATAGCAACGAGTTCTCACTTAACTGTTGAGTCTGCTGAACGCAGCCAATCATGCTCCCCAGCAAACGAGAATGAAATGGATTAAAATGGATTGAAATGGATTAAAATAAATTCAGATTTTCAGAAATACAGATTCATGAATATGTTAAAATGAATCCTTTTTATAATCCTGAAAGCATTTTTATTTGTTTATAAGAATTGCATGAAACAATGTTTATTCCTTTTCAATCTTGAATGCATTTTTATTTATTTATAGGAATGGCATGGATCGAGTATATTTCTATGCCTTTCAATTTAAAAATAATATTATAGTATTCTGTGTGCATCATAAATACTGCTCAATTCTACTCACAATTCTGCTCAAAATTATGAATAGGAAATGCAGTTTTTCAATCCAGTTGAATCTAAAAATAATATCAGCCATTTCTATACATCGTGAATATTGCTCAATCCAAAATTCTGAATAGGAAATGCAGATTTTTAGTCTAATTGAATCAAAAAAATTTTTCTTTTAAAATGGGCCATGAATGCTATTCAATTTAAAATTGTGAGTAGAAAATCCATTGTTTCATTTAAAAATGCATCATAAATTCTACTTTATTCAGAATTATAAATAAAAAATTTTTCATTTTAATTTAACTGAGTTAAAAAAAAGTTGTACCGTAAAAATATATCATGAATTCTACTTATTTAATAGTTAAAAGAAACATAAAAAGAACTACGTAAATATGTACGATAAATATTACATATATAAATTCCTTATTTTTAATTAATAAATTAGTCATTTTTATGTATATTTTATGTTAATACATTTCCTTTATTATACAGCCTTTTTATCCTTACATATTCATTCAGCCTTTAAACACACTGACTCTTTTTGAATCTAATTGGCTTCTACAATAAGCCATTAGTAAATCAGAAGTCAGAAGTTAAAAATGGACGACTGTGATTGGTCAATTTTTAGCTTCTGACTTCTAATTTATGACTAATGGCTTATTATATTGGGTCATCTAAAAAATATCCGCGGTTTTTTGTCACTAGATGTGTGATGATGGTCATATATCTAGTGACAAAGTACCGTGCATACTTTTTAGATGATCATTATCTGGGAATTCCCTTTTTACGTTACTAATGCGTAGTATCATCACGTATAAATATAGATTAATAAATATAGATAGAACATTCAGCTTTTACAGAGCTTTAGTAAAAGGTGTAAAATAAGATTTTGTGTTATTGTGGAAATAAAAAAACAATCTATGATGTCATTTAAAATTGATTTCGAATTCACGATTGATTTGATCGGACACTTTAGTATCGATGGTAATTCAGAATATCATGACGATTTATCGCAACTGAAATATTATATTTCTCCTTCAAATCCTAATGTCAATTTCGATCTTAACAAAAATTATAAATCTGTCCAACATAAATCTACTTCACACATCAAATTGGATCATATATTAAAATGGATTTCTCATAATTTTCGTCAACTCGAAAAACCACTATCAGTACAGGAAGAACGTTGGTATGTTGATAAATCATTGTTATCATTGTTAATAAATCATTGTTTAAGTATAAAAGCTTGCATATACAGGGTGTTTAAAAATATTTTTCAAAATATTTTTGTTAAAAATCTTAATGAACTTATCAATTTTTTCTGGAGCCAATGAATTTCTTAACTTACTCCAAACATGACCAAATGTAGAGAAAATTCTCTCTTTACTTGATAGTACAACTAAAGAAATTTGTCACAAAAATGCAAAATGCCTTTTTAGGGTCATTATTATTATCTATTTTATTTCATGGATAAATTGCAGAGCTATATTTAAATTTTTTTTCCGTCAAATTCTTTGTTTTTGTGCAAAATTGCTTCGAATGAGCACAATTTCATCGAAATTGAAAGTGTGAGGGGGGGGGGGTCTTTTGGAAAACTAGGATTTTTTTTTAATCAAAACAAAACTAGATAAAACCGGTTATAATAATTGAATTGGCTTTAATATAAAAAAACTTGGGTTTTTGCTAGCTCTGATTATCTTTTAACATCATTCTGCTATTTGCGGATTTATATACCTACAGTTTATAAATTGCTACAAACGAGGCAAATAATGTGCACTAATGCATTAAACTTAAAAAGTTATTTTTAATTTTATATTATTACACTTTATTTTAATTAGAAACAATATTGACTAGGTTGGATTTTGATTTTATTTGTTCTCGTGGGTTAATAAAGACAATACTATCTACCCCATATATTAACAATGAAAGAAATGCATGGATTATATGCGCAAGTAAATATCGCGGTACAATATATTTATGCAAGTTTTATACAGACGAAAAAGAACAAAAATGCTTCACTGCATCAGACTATGAAAAACAAGCGACTTCATGGGGATTTAAATTTGAGCAGTATATGCTTGCAGGTATTTCATATATTATGACAATTCGATTATGTATTGTTTTTACGAAGACAAAATGGGATAATTGAATTTATATAATTAATTTAATTATATAATGTATATTTTTTAGATCATCCATCACACGCACCAAATCCAGAACGATCGCTTAACGAGTGCGAAGAATTCTATTGTATGTTTAAAGCAAAATTTGACACGTATTCGTTATTATACGGGGCAGAAATTGATGGAATTTTTTCGCGACAGCCTATAACAGATACACTTGTTAACAAAAGATTTGAAATAATTGAGTTGAAAACATATCCAATGTATAATATAAATATGCAAAAAAATAATCGTAAAATTTCCTGTGAAAGAGTATCGATGTGGTGGAGTCAAAATTATTTGGTGAAGACAAATAAAATTATATTTGGATTAAAAGACAAAAAGCAAAAAGTAAGAAAGATAAATGAATATTCTGTACATGATTTGCCATATCTTTCAAAGGTAATTTTGTTTAAAAAATTGTGCAAGATAATTGTGATTTAAGGATATATTAATGTAAAATTATATATGTTTAATTATATTACAGGAAGATTATAGTACAAAAGTATGCAAACAATTCTGCAAGATATTTCTAGATAATATCAAAAGAATTGTTACTAAAGATCATAATGAGTGCATGTACAAGTTTCAGTGGCACCCAACAGCTAAAGATGTTGTGAATTATACCGAAGAACCTCCTGATAATGAAAGATTTTTCTTCTTGAAGCCATGGTTTATTGCTAAAGCAGAAAAGTACAGAAAATCAAAGCGTCCTCAGCAAATAATAAAATCTAATAAGTAATTTTCATATTAATAATATACTAACCACATGCAAATGTGGATATATGAAATATGTTAAAGACAATGCATATATTTATGCACAATATATGTGTGCATCTTATATGTGCGCGTTTTTTTAATATTTTTTTAATTTTAGGAGTTATGACATTTTTTTTCATTTATTTATATAAATTATGATTTTTTAATTGATATTGCATATTTCAATTTATAAAAACAATACAATCCTTCTACTATGGTAAAAACTTGTTAAAGATTTCACAAATGGAAGAATTTTTTCAAATTTTTATACGTATATATATATATATATTTCGGAATGATAAAAAATATCTAGATCTCAATGACCCAGTAGATCGAAAATTTCAACATTATCGATGGAAGAGTAATAATCATTTTTTAGACAGTATGATACATAATTATTTTATAAATTTAACACAAAACTTTATATTTGAAATAAGTGCAAAGAGATCCTTATTCAATCAAAACGGATACTAATGCTTAATAATATTTTCGAATTTTACAATTTTCAGTTTATGAAAACTATATACCAATTTATCAGTCTTGCAACATAATCCTAAATTGAAGCTGCATAATGTAACAAATTAAACTGACAAGTAATTTAATGATACTGATGCTAATGAGCATCTTAAAATAAAACACTGTAAAATTACGAAAAATATAAATATTTAATAGTTATGCAATTAAATATAGATGTTTTAAGCTTATACATTTAATTATATTACTGACAAAATAAAAACTTTATTAGATATTAAATACTTCAATTTAGAATTTACCTGATTGCATCCATTATTTTCCGAAACATATATTTTGATATTCATTCAGGTCGAGTCAATTTTAAATAGAATTTATTTTCCTATTTCTTCAAATTGTTTCTTAGCTTATTAGTAACAATAAAATACAGAATGGTTCATCTTAATCCATCTAGTAAAATATTTTAAAATCCTTAAATTTAAGACAAAAATGTTTCAGATAAATATTACTAAGTTATAAGAGAAAAAGAAGATAATGACCTTGGTTCACTTTGAAAAGATATCCTTAAGATCAAGGTTATCTAAATTTTTAAAATTATATTAATAAATTAATAAAATTTAACAAAATTATATTATTTTTTTACACATGATTCCTCTAATTATTCTGCATATAAAAAATATCAAACTAGAGAGACAAAAAACCAAACTAAACAGACAAAAAAACCAATAATTAGGAGATATTTTATACTTTATTCTGATACATTGACCGGAAATATTAAGTATCTGTTAAATTGTTACGCTTAGTTTTTTAATAATCGTATTTTAATACTTTTATGAATAGAATAATGAGATGAATCTATTGGTTTAAAGAAACACACAGTTGCTCATTTAAAAAATTATCTATTTTGCTTATATATATTTTTTAAAGTAACTATGTAATATCTTTATAAAATTATATTATTTGTAATATTATTATTGACCTTAATATAAACATATAACAAAATTTAAAAAATCTTAAAAGAAAAATATATTATTTTAGTCCTTATTCTTTGAAGTAATAAGTATGATTTTATTAGTTTTGAAATAGATGTGTAAGAGAGATAATAACTTTGTAGATATAATGAAATAATTATTTTATATTTTATACAAAAGTTTGTAATGAAAATTAAAAACTTAAATATTTCAAGCTCATACATTTATTCTAATTCTAATTATATAATTAAACAACTTTATTACATATATATATATATATATGTATATATCAGACACTTCGACCGAGAATTTGCCCGATTGCATTCATTTCTTTATGAGACATAGGTTCTAACATTAATCCAGGTACTGGTGGAGTCAATTCTAAATCACGGAGTTCATTTACTTTTATTTTTAAATCGCTTCTTAGTTTATTAATGGCAGTATCACATTCTCTCTGATCTGTAATGTAATATGTAATGTAAAAATAATACAGATTATAAAAATTACAGAATATAAACTTTCTTGTTCTGTTTGTTTAAAATTACCTTTTACAAGTAATTCTTCAGCTGCTTTAGACGACATCTTTAAAAGTAATGGTCCTACTGTTATCCAAGTTTTTTCATGCGACTGTTTTTGAAGTGCTCTCATTCCAACACGATCATCATTTCGTCTCTTGTCTAGAGCGACTATTTCTTCTCGATCAGTGAGAATTTCGCCAGCTTTGTTTTCAACTTTTTCTAAGTGTTCCAATAATTTGTGCTGCTCGTCCGCCATCTGTAACAAATTAATAAATGTATCATTTTTTTATTTATATATTTTTATACTTTATAGAAAGGTTCTCATTCACATGCTACATTTTAATGAAATAAACTTTATTATTTTTATATATTTTTAAATTTTTATTGATATAATTAGCGTGAAATAAAAAATTGTACTAATAACATTATATAGAGAAGTAAAAAATATTTTTATTAAAGTATTAATATGAAATATCTTATAATAAAAAAAAGATTGAAGATTAACTTACAAGTCTTAAATATATAAGAACAGTAAAAGTTATTTTCATTACATTTAATCTTGAAATAACATCACATTCAAAATAGAATTATTTATATTTATTTTAAGATAATGCTATACGCAAAGCTCTTTCTTTCCTAGCCTCTCTGTGAAGTAGCCTTTCTCTGTCTCTTTTCTTCAAAGGTTTTTGCTTGGGCATTTTGGAGCTGTTAATGGCAGTTGTATCGCCCGACTTAAAATGAGTAATCTTATACTCATTTTCTATTAATTGTCCTAATCCTTTGCGATCCATTTTTAAACATGTTTTGATGGGATATTTTATTCCTTTCCCAGAAGGACCAAGACCAGCTTCCTCGTCCCATCCTGTATTCAAAAGCATTCTGTATCCTTTATTTTGCCTCGATATTCCATACATTGTATATTTCAGTTTCGGTTTTGTATTAAAGATGTGTAGAGTTGAACTTTCATGTTTTTGTGGCGTTGTTTCTTGAAAGGTTGCTTTACAGATTTCACAGTAAAACGCTGCGTTCTGCTCCAGCTGTGTCTTATCTTCCATAACATTGTCTTTATTATGTTCCACTGATGATTCTATAGGCAATGATCTTACTGACAAAATACTTGTATTATTTGTATTTGGAATATTTGCAGTTAACTGATTGATACTGCTTATGGGATCAGACTTCTTCAATAGCGCTACGATATTCAAATAATTTCTTTTTAAAGCTAGTTGTGCTGCAGTAAGACCAGACTTGTCTCTAGTTTTTTTGTTAGCCCCAAGATTTAATAAAAATTGCACAATCTCTAAATGACCACAATAAGCAGCGGACATTAATGGAGTCCAACCAAAGTCGTCAGAAGAATTTACATTTTCTGTCGTCATGTGTTTTTGCAAAAACTTTAAGTCTTTTTGCTCCACTGCTTTTAACAATGTATTGATTGTGACTTTTGCTAGAATATCATCAGAAAGTGTACTCTTCTTTGATTGTACAATAGAAGTTGAATTTGTGTTGGAGTTGTCTTGGTTTCCAGTGACTTTTAATCTTAAATTCTTTAATCTTGCTGATGGAGTATTGCTATAACTAGTTTGTTGAACAATTTCTTCATAAGTAGCCTTTGCTTCGTTACCTTGGAAAGCCAACTGATGAACGCATCTCTCTGGAGATTTATCCTGTATATTAGATGACTCTCTGACGAAGGTCTTCCACGGTATATCAAAGTTGTGTCGTATATGTATCCACTGTTGCAGAGGCATCTTTTTTACGTCATATGTCACGTTGTCTTGTATTACTAGCACACTTTCTCTTCTTTAATTGTTCTTTTGTTGAAATTTGTATAGAATCCTTATGAAATATCCTATTTTCTCAATCCATATTTATCTTTTTAGGAATCACAAATAAAACCGTTTTTGCAGTTTAAAACGTCGTAAAATACGTGTACAAACGACGAGCAATACGTTGCTCTGCACCTCGCAATTGCCACAATAAAAGTTCGCAAAAGTTTGCAAAGACAAAATAAAGTCGTGTCTCAAAAGAGTATACAGATCTAACGCGTATTGTTCACAGACGCTCAAGATGTTATATTATCGAAATAATACGTCGATAGCAAAATTTACCTTTGCTTCAACGCGCTATCACTGCAACTGCAATCTGTTGCAATCGTCTCGCCTGAACGTCGCGTAGTCACGTAAATCACATAATTCACAATTAGGTTATGTACACCAAATACTCTCTAGAGAACTTCATGTAGGGAATTCAGTTGAATTCAGTTCTCGGACGATACAGGGCAACAAATCAAAATCTATCAGGGGTGCGTTCCAAAACTTGACTCTGTCAACTCGAGTATCCTTTATCTTTATTCAACATTTAATGACCAACAAGGATAAAATAATACTCAAGTTGACAGAGTTGAATTTTGGAATGCAACCCTGAGGATCGATTCTGTATCTTGAAAAAAGATGAACATTATAAAAGTGAACGAATTTATTTCTAGAATACTGATTATTTCATTGGTCAACACCTAATTTGCTCGCTTTTGTACAATAATTTTCACCTTGTTTGAAGATACAGAATCGATCCCCAGACTAGAGAGAAATTTTTTGAAAGCAATTAAGTAATCGGAAATTCATAAATATGAAACAAGAAAGATTGTTTAAAACTTTGTAATTTTTGAGATACTTATTGTGATACATATTTCGTCATAAGTCACGGAAATATTTGTTCATAAATGAAATCTAACAAGAGAATCTAATAATTCTGATTTTTTTCTCTTTCTTTCTTTCTTTTTGCATTTAACATCTTTTCATAGTAAAATTATCTATTTATTTAGGTCAATAATATTTTTTAAAAATAATTTTTACAAAAATTCATATTTAAAAAATTATTTTTAAAAAATATTGACATAAATAGAGATAATTTTATTATAAAATTTTCATATTAGATATTTTTTGATATATATCTTGAATGGTTTCTGAGATATATGTTACGAAAAAAGCTAATAATCACTTTACCAATAATCAGTCATTTCACTCTTTAAAACTATTTTTCCGCATCAATTAATATTTTCTAAATTCTATTTATTAAAATCTATTTATGTGTAAAATAACCTATATGTATAAGTTTCATTAAAAATTTTAATGAAACTTTTTATACATACAGATTGTGAGAAAGTCTTAAAAATTTTTGCATTTAAAATGAGGTAGATAAATATATATTTAGGCATTGAAAAGAAAAAAAAGCAAATGTATCGAGTGCAAACAATACAAGCAACGTTAACTGACCAATTTTTAATCCACATATTATTCTTAAAGTATTACAATATATTATTCTTGAAGTATTGTTTCTATAGAAATCTGTTGATTCAGAATTTGTCGTTGAAGACACACACATACAAAACGTTATAGAGGTTAGGTTAGAAATTATTGTCGGCGTCGGCGATCGCGTGGCCCATGTGGTGTACACGTTCAGGTACATGAAATTTTTTAACTTGTAAATGGGATATCATTACGATTAAATAAAACATGGCTTTGCCAACTTGGGCGAAGGTAGGAATTGGATGGTACGTGTACACAGTATCTTGAAAAAAGTTTCTTACGTCTGATTTTGCATATCACGTTAACCTAAAAATTGAACTATGATTATCGTGCCAATAGAATAATTCCGAACATATATGATTTATATAGATTAAAGATTTCAGATTTTGCGTTTACTAGTCTATAAAAAAAAAACATTTTTATATGATCTTTATTATAGAATGATGAATTTATATTTTGTAGGTCTGTAGCCACTGTTCTAGGACTTTATTCATTTGTGCTGTCCAAGAGAAGCATCAATGCTCAGAGATATGAGATTATGAAAGCTAGACAACGATTGCGCGACATCAATACTGTAGAGTAATTTATTAAGAAGTAAAAATTTTTAAGCAAAGAAAACGTAATTGTAGAGCACCAAGTCGGAAGAATGGCAGCATTACCGCAATTGGACGAGGATAAAATGAAGCTGGTACAGGATTTAGAAATAGAAATGATGTCAGATATGTATAACCGTATGACATCTGCATGCCACAGAAAGTGTATAGCACCAAAATATACCGAGGCTGAATTAGGCAAAGGAGAATCAATATGTCTAGATCGTTGCATTGCTAAATATTTAGACGTTCACGAACGTATCGGCAAGAAACTTACACAAATTTCGATGCAAGAAGCAAAAATTGCAGAACAACCAAAGACAAGTTAAATCTATTATCATTAATTGTATTTGATAGGATCTTGCACTTATTATCTATTATAAGTTGTCTTTAATCTTGCTTCAATTATGACACAGTTTACCAAGATTTGTGTTCTAAATTAAAATTAATGATAAACTGTAGTATATTATTCTGTACTTTAATGTTTTAAATTGCGAATAAACTAAATATTATATGTTACAAATTTTTAATTTTCCAATTTATCAAATATTTAAATACATCACATATCCTTTCCATGATATATTAAATATTATAATCTTGTTGCATTTTACTGTAATTTATAAGTTTGTTAAAACTTATAAATTATTAACTTTGTATAAACTACTTTAAAATTTATTTTGAAGAGATATTTATCTGTATAAAAAATAAGATATTTAAATATTTATAAGATTTATCTGTGTCATAAAGCCTTGGGACATATAGATCGTTTTAGATAAATACATTTACAAATAGTTTATTTTTCAAAATTTCATACAACACAATTGCAAATAATAATGCATAATACATTACCTAAATTTTTATTAAATTTAAATAGCAGAAAAATTTGGCTATCACTCCTATTTTACATTTAACAACTTTTATTGATTATTCAAAATATAATTTTTGTCCATTTAAAGTAATTTTTTTCCATGTATACTTTTAGACACAAACTTTTGTGACGTAGAAAAATTTTTGTTCTTTGACAATATACATATAAAATAAGTATTAATGCTAACAATACAACAAGAACACAATATATTAATTATTGTAAAAACAATGAATGAATTTATGGCAATGTGACACAGTATGTACAAATTTAAATGTTACGGATTCTGAACAAAATTGAAGACTTGATGGAAGGTTTTTTATAGTTCTGTTTGGCAAAATAATATCGCCGTTGTTAAGAAATAAAGTAGTAAAGAATAAATGGTTTTTTTTTGTTCTTGTCTAAATTCATATCACATACATACAATATTTCGAAATATAATATTTAATATTAACCAGCAGTTTTATCTTTCACTGGACGAATTGTCGCCAACGCCAAAGTGTGCTGGCCGCCACCGCTAACTCGTACGACTGTCTTTCCCTCTAACTGTTTTCCCTTAACTAATACTGGTTCCTCGACATCTTTTACATCTCCCGTTCCAAGATTTCCATTGGTTCCCATACCCCATGAATATAAATCACCTATTATAATAAAAATAGAATCTTATACATATATGAATCTTGTATATATTTTTTAAAAAATAGTTGATTTTATATTATATCAACACTTCATATTACCAGATTCCGTGACGGCAAAAGATTCTCTACTACCCGCGCCTATGTCAATACATTTAGTGGAACTTAAAGCAGAAACTAATGTAAGTTCTTCCGCGTCTGAGCAATTAGGTCCAAGACCAAGGCGACCGTATTCTTTGCGACCCATCACAAAAACTTGTCCTGCATCATCCAAAGCTATGGTATGATGTTCTCCACTACTGATATGTTTCCATACTTTGCCGCTAAAGGTTTTTGATATTTGTGGATGAAAATGGATATCATTGTCCTTCAAACCTAAAATATTTTCCAACAAATGCGACTTAAAATTGTGTATGAAAAATATACAAAATTTAAAAAATATCTTTCTTTTTTAAACAAAGAAACTTATTGGATCGTATATGTGATACACAATTAACAGAAAATAAAAGCCTTTAAGATACCTTTATCCTTCCTGATTTATCAAATTAGTATATTACTACTACTCCGACTCTGTCGGGATTGAATTTTAAAAAATCCGAAAAATTAATTCGGCGCGCAATTTTCATTACGACATATGCAATATCGAATTATTGAAGCACTTAAGATCTAGCTTTGATCTTAAATCTCTTAATTAAAGGCTTTTATTTCCTATTGATCTGTCTTTCTCTTACCAATTTGGTGGAAATTATTTAAACCAAATACATATATATCTCCTTTTTCATGTTCCTTAGCAAAAGTGCAAAAATTTCCTGCCCATATATCGTCAAAATATAATTTCTTCCTGATTTTAAATTCAACTACGCCTGGAGTCAATAGCAGACCTATTCCTTGTCGTGTATTTCTACCGGCTGTACGTGCAGCTACTCGTCCTAGTTGTCCTTGTTCACCGCGTCCACAAGTATATACACGTCCATTTTCACTAAGTAACACTAAATGATCATTACCTGATGCTATTTTGACAACTTTTACGTCAGGTAATATTTCTATAGGGAATCGCTCATTTCCTTTCAACGTTAATCCCATAGAACCATGTGTATCCTATTTATAAATTCACACATAAATGACATAAATTTTCTTTTAATTAATACTAATTTATAATAAAATAATTTGTAAAAATATGTTTTACATATTTTTATATAATTTATAAAACTATAATATAATTTATATCCTTAGAAATTATATTTATAAAAAATATAGTAATATAAAAGTAATAATTTCTAAAAAAGAAATAATTATAAAAATTAATTAATAGAAAAGATATACCCTAAATGTGCCCCAAGCAAATACTCGACCATCATCTAACAATGCAGCGGTATGCGAATCTCCTGCTGTCACCTGAATGGCTTTACCAGGTAATTCAACTATGCCTGGTACTGTCTCAGATCCTTCCTTAGTAGTGTCTCGTCCAAGTGCCCCCTCGTCATTACATCCAAAAGTCAATACTTCTCCTGTGTTTCTCAGACATACATTATGCATAGCGCCAGCAGCTACAGTTATAACGTCTTGATAATCAGTTATGGCTGCTGGACGCATTTTTTCAGTGATATCTTCTCCTAGACCAAGTTGTCCAAAATCGCCTTGTCCAAATACAAGCATAACACCACCAATTGAAAGCGATCGTAAGTTAGGTTTTACACTTAATCCTGTACAAGACAAATGTATGGAAATTAAATTTATGTCACACAATCTAATAGAAGGGCAATTTATATATTAATTTATCGAACATTTTCAGAGAATATCATTATTT